CTCTCTCTCTCTCTCTCTCTCTCTCTCTCTCTCCCCCCCCCCAATTGCCTGTCACCTCTAGTCAATTGCAGTCTTAGAATCACCATCTCAGTTCCACCATGCTACCTCTATCGCACTCGCAGTTTCACAATTCACCTCCACCTTGCAGACTGCTGCTCCACCTCTCGCCCAAACCAACCAAACCGGACTGCAATTTCCGTGGACCAATTTGTTCGTGAACACCCATCTTCTGTCGGTGTTGGTCCGGCGACAGTGCTCACCGAACTTGTCAATAATACAGTAAGCAGTATGGGCCCAACACCGAACTAAAACCTAACCAACAAACAGGCGCATTTTGCCAATTTTTAAAGCTCCACCAGTGCCATTCAAAGGGTGCATCATTTCGATACGGATAAGAGAATGATCGTACATGTGCATAAGTGTTTTTTTAAGGGAAGAAAACATCAACTCTAATATATCAGCTCTACTATTTGTGATAGATACAAATAAAATTAAGAGTGCTTCTATTATCATCAGTCAAAATGCTTACCCCACCCCCTTTAAAAGATTTAAGTACAATTTTTTCCAGCAATAGCATTACCTAAAAGGAAAAGCTTGAATTCTAAAGAGGGGGAAAAAAAAAAAAAGGGGGGGGGGGGGGCTGAGCAAGATGATTTGAAAGATTTTGACGGATGATAATTGTACACAAGATGTCAAGGTGAGAGGCTTTGGTCTCACTAAAAGTAAGAGATGAGCCTCTTTAATTTGTTATTTGGGAATGCATTTTTCTCAAATGTCGACACTAACACTTAATTTTAGGCTTTTAAATGCCATGTCTAAGTCAAGTCTCACAACAACAAATGTCATCCCTTAGGACCTCCCTCCCCAATCTCTATTGTTTGTTTCCTTCTTCACCACCCTTTATTTTCTTCCTGCTCATCACACTTAAGATAGCCCATCTACAAACCTGTGAAACTTGTTTGGCAATGGAATTTAGAAGTGACTTCCACCTGGATCCATAATTTGATGAAGACATATTGCTCTTAGAGCTCTTTGATCCATCTGCAACGGAACGTTTCAGGTTGAACTGCCATTATATAACTTGAAGCTTTTACTGTGGTGTGAAATTGAATTGGAAATAATATTTAGCAATGTCAAATTGGAAATAATTGCATGCTTTAAGTTCCTGTGAATATGCTTGAAGGTTTCTTTCATTCTCTACTACAAGCCTATAGATAGCAGACCTTTTGCAAGAATGATATTCTAAATGAACCTAAAAAGTGAACGATTCGAATTATTGGAACCACATTGCTGGGTGGCCCTCATTAGATCACCTGTCTATGCATATAGAAATTTTTTTGGGTAGTTATGTCCGTATCCGGACATTGTGCCGTTCAAAATGCATCATTTGGCGGGTCAAACAACACCTCAATTATTGTTATTATTGTAGTTTTAGATGCGGTTTCCCACATGATTGGTTATCTTAAGGTGTGAAATTGCCATTTAGAGTTTTAAGTTTAGGTTTTAACTCTCAAGTTCTGGGCAGTTAAAGGTGGGCACTTCTACAGCAAAATCAAGAGAACTGGCCAAACTGAACCGGTTGAATGGGTCAAAAAATCAATCTTAAAACTCCTGAATCAATGTTATTTCCAACCGAACCAATATGACTATATTTTATTATTCTTATTCAAAACTTACCTTTCCACATGGCTCCGTTCCATTGGCTGGCAAATCTTCACTTCACTATGGTCCTGCCCTATCAGATCCGTACACTAGATTAGATCTTCAAAATCTGGAGCAATAATATTCCTCTATCTTCATCAACCTGCCTCCGCCACACACGCACTCTCTCTCTCTCTCTCTCTCTCTCTCTCTCTCTCC